CGACGTCTTGCTCATCCGGTGTGCCCTGAGAACGAGATATGTGCAGCTCCTATCGGGATTTGTCGGCACATCTGGGTGGTGTTGCTGAATTTGTTTTAACTTGTCGAAGTGTCTTGTTGTACCGGGATACCGAGTGTGATCGGAATGTCTCGGGAGGAGGCCTATTCCTTCGTTGACCGTGAGAGCTTGTCATGGGCTAAGTTGGGACACCCCTACAGGGATTTGAACTTTCGAAAGCTGTGCCCGCGGTTATGGGCAGATGGGAATTTGTTAATGTCCGGTTGTAGAAAACCTGAACGTGACCCTAATTAAAATACATCAACCGCGTGTGTAACCGTGATGGTCCCTTTCCGGCGGAGTCCGGGAAGTGAACACGGTGTTGAAGTTATGCTTGACGTAGGTTGTTTAGGATCACTTCTTGATCATACTTTCTCGATCGTGCTTTGCCTTCTCTTCTCGCTCTCATTTGCGTATGTTAGCCACCATATATGCTAGTCGCTTGCTGCAGCTCCACCTCATACCTTTACCTTACCCATAAGCTTAAATAGTCTTGATCGCAAGGGTGCGAGATTACTGAGTCCCTGTGGCTCACAGATACTTCCAAAACCAGCTGCAGGTGCCGATGTTACAGAGCAGGTGACGCAACCAAGCTCAAGGAGGAGCTCGATGAAGATCTTGTTCTTTGTGTTGTTTCGTTCTAGTTGATCAGTAGTGGAGCCCAGTTGGGATCGATCGGGGACCTTTGTCGCATTTGGGGTTCTTCTTTTATTTTGGTTCCGTAATCGGACCTTGATTGTATTTGGATGTTGTAATGCTTTATTCATGTAATTGTGTGAAGTGGCGATTGTAAGCCAACTATGTACCCATTTCCCTTATGTATTACATGGATTGTGTGAAGATTACCTCACTTGCAACATTGCTTTCAATGCGATTATGCCTCTAAGTCGTGCTTCGACACGTGAAAGATATAGCCGCATCGAGAGCGTTACAAACAGGCACGGGTACTTTTATATGATTGATCGAAGCAAGTGTTGTATGCAGGCAAATTAGAAGTTTAAAACGCCGCACGCGATACTGGAAGCAAGTGGACTGATCGGAAGCAATTGGTTAACCTCAACTCTCCTCTCTCTCATGTACGGGGCCTCCATCTTCTGAATTAAAATTGCACCCATCGGCATCCATCTGCCTCCCAAACGATTGAAAAATATCACAAGTATCCATTCGAGTTTGTACGCAAAAGTTATGCTCATTTTACAAATTTTCAAGAGATTTCGCAAATAAAGTTGAAATTCATATTTGTAAATTTTCACAACAACTAGACCATATATCACATGGGAAACTTTTTTTTTTGACATTTTCATCATTTTTTTTATTTTTTTTAAACTAAAAAGGCGGTCCACGGAAGGGGGGTGAACTAGTAATGGCGCATCACTCCCACGGTGCGCCATTAGTAGTTTTGAAAAAAAATTACTACTAATGGCGCATCGTGAGAGTGGTGCGCCATTACTAGTTCAACTAGTAAACTAGTAATGACGCACCACTCCCACGGTGCGTCATTAGTAGTTTTGAAAAAATTAAAAAAATTTACTAATGGCGCATCATGGATGTGGTGTGCCATTAGTATTTGGACACTAATGGCACACCAACACATGGTGCGCCATTAGTATATAGTAATGGCGCACGACATGTCTGATGCGCCATTAGTGTCAATTTCATCTATAGCTTTTTTTCTAGTAGTGGTAACTTGCTAAGGGCATAACAAAAATGATAGAAGAAGAAGCCACAAACTTTAGACATGGTGGAGATGCAAAGCTAACCAGGCAATGGAGGGAACATGCTTCCTCTTCTCCGTTGAATCCATCACCATACGGCTAGGTGAGGAGCTGCCGCTTGCATCTTCCGCCTTCGCTGGGCGAGAGGAGAGGCTGCTGAAAGAAACCTGCAAAATCATCCAAACCAACAAAGATGATTTTAGGACGAGACCCCTTGCATTACCTGTCCTTATCCAAGCTCTAATGATAGACATACGCTTCTGGTCCTTGTAGAAGCCATGGGGACCAAATATCATCTGCAATAATAGCTCAGAAGAGTCGGAACCTGCGAGCGCAGCGGCGACGACGGGGCCGGCGGATCTGCGAGCACCATGGCCATGGCCGTCACCTGACCCGCTCGCTCTCCATCTTCTCTTCCCTTCCCGTCGCCTAACCCGCTCGCTCTTCCTCTTCTCTTCCCTTCCCTTCTCTTCTAAAAACAGGAGGGGGGAGGTTGCGGGCGGAGGCTGGCCGGGTGGAGGAGGTGCGGCGGCGGCAGGAGAGGCGGGCGTGGTCGGGAGAGAAAGGAGAGGGGTGCGGTCGAGAGAGAGAGGAGAGGGGTGCGGTCGGGAGAAAGAGGAGAGGGGTGCGGCGCGAGTGCGGGATGGGCGGAAGGGTAGGTTACCTCCACCGGAGCGGCTGCTTTTTATACACCCATATGCAAAATGACGAAAATGCCCTTGACGGGGCATGGAATTAACAGGCGGTGGCACCAGAGTTTATAGGGCGACGTGGATAGCTCGGTCTTGCCTAGCAGTCCTTCAAGGTTTATATGTTCAATGTCGTAGTTCGACCACGTTGATGTCGGCGTCGGAATGTGTGTGCTATTTAGAGCTACGGTGCACCGGCCGTGGCCAGCGGCCCGTTTGTCGCGCGGCGGCATGTCCTCCTCCGGCGTCGTGGCCCCATATATACCATGCGCGGCCGGCGGGATGCTCTGCTCCTCGTGCCGGGGTGGCCTTGGCCAGATGTGCGGCTCCCAGATCTCGCACGGACGGCAGTGCGCCCGGTTCCTGGCGTGGCCATCGTGTTGCTGCCGGATCCGGCCGCCCTTGTGGTGGCCGGCGCGGCCTGGGTGGCTTGCTGGTTCCTGGCGCGCTGATGGAACTGCAAGTGCGTGCCGTCGGGAAGCCCTTCCGTGGCGGTGGCGCCGTCGATGTGTGGGGCTGCTGCGGCACGTTCGGCGGTGGCAAGGAGGGTCTGGTCCGACGCCTTTTAGCGGAGCTCTGGAGTGCTCTCGATGCGGCGGTGGATGGCCGAGTGCAGGTTTGATCCGTTTCAGCGGAGGCTTGCCACCGCCGGGAGTTCTTTTGACACAGTATGGACAGAAATGCTCCTACGTATGAATATCCTTTTCTGAGAATCCGGTGAAGAGAAAATCTATAAAAAAATACTTAAAAAATTCAAAAAAAAAAATCCGATTTTTACATGGAATATAATTTGGTGCGTAAGATGGTCTTCAAATTTTAGATCATTTGAACATCTGAGTAGCTCTCGACAAAAAAGATGAATTTAGGGTCTCTTATACAATATTTAATGTTCATGAGTTTTTTTTAACACACTACAGAAACAAACACTCGTACCGTACGCACATACAGTTGGATCAGTTATACTATAATTCTAAAATAAATACTCTGGCTGGTTGTAATGGTAGTATCATAGCTAGTATCATGCATGCCAACTAGGCAATTTTAATGAGATGTCATAGCATTAAATAAAGAAAGAGAAGGTGTAGTATTATATCATGATACCGTATCATAATAAATGTTATGTTACTTTGTGTCATGCATGACAATAAATAAAGTATTACATGATACTAATATATGATATTATGCATTAGGGAGATAGTATCATACACTAGTATCATATGCATGATACTAGTATATGATACTCCTCATTACAACCAGTCTAAAATGTGAAATGCTCGCACCAACCCAATGGCACGCTACCTTGTGAAGCTGTGAGGCCCGAGGTGAAAATCCGAGTTGTGCTATTCCCTTCAATCTAAATTAATTGACTCAACCTCTATCCAATGTTCATGTACATTTATGCTGTTTAGAGGCTGAGTCAATTAATTCAGATTTGAGGGGGAGCAAAATTCCTTTTACTGATGGAAATATGTCCAGAGATGTTTTCGGAAAGAACATGTATTGATCAGCCCAAATCGCAAAAGAACAGCTAGATCATTTGTCCTTTTCTTTGTACAGGTATCAATCTGGTAACATTACATCAACGTCACCTTCTCCTGTGACGCTAACAAAATCAGCACACCTATGTCTAACAGAACACCACAACGGTATCACACAAGCTCTCATGTACACATCATCTTCGCCGAGAAAAAGGCGACAATGGTAAAGAAATCAACAATCTTCAGTCAATCCATCAACTCCAAAACCAATAAGAAGCATTTAGCCCTTCACAGATCTCACGGTATGTACATCATTGCCTGTTAAGATAATTAAGAAGAAGTACTTATTGAAATGAGCAAATAAAAACCTGATAAAAGAAAAGAACACTCTTTAGGGAGTTTGTGTCCTCCACATGATGCAATTCAAGGTGGTATGGAGTAGTAGTAACAAGCATACGTTTCACACACGAGGGCCTTTTTGATTCAAACGATTCTCATAGAAATTTGAGAGGATTACAGTGCTTAGGAATTTTTCCTACATTGATCGTTTGATTCATATGATTGAATTCTATAAAAATTCATATGTACTACGTTTCATAGGATTTTTAGCATCCACTCAAATGTCTTGATAAGAATCATTTTCTTTTTTGTGATGCTATCGAACAAACCAAAATCCTATAAGATCCAGATGGTCATGACATCACAATCATATTTCTGCAAATCAAAGAGACCATGAATAGAAGAGAGAGAGAGAGAGAGAGAGAGAGAGAGAGAGAGAGAGATACATAACACGCCTCTTGTAGTGATTAATTTGGACAAAAATATTCTCGGGTATTTCTTTGAAAACAAATGGTCAAAAGAAGTACAGTTGACTCACCGTCACAAATTTCAGTGTCAATAGTAAATTGGCCATGGTAAAAATACTCTGCAATATTTCTTCAGGACAGCAAGAACAGAAAGCCGATCTTGTTTCAGCATTGTCTCATAGGGACGTCTTTTATTACAAAAATAACTGTCAAAAAAGTGAAGGAATGGAAATTGGGAGGGAAAAGCTTTGACGTCTACCACAGCGGGTTGCGTTGCTTATACAGTAGAAAAACTGCTAGAACGAAAACGAGGAAGCACCTAAATAGTGACATGGATGCAGCAACCTTGGCCAAGGGCCTAGCAAGCAGAGCAGAGGAGATCATGGCACATACCTCAATGAAATGGTTCATCAGAAGCTCACTCTGTGGCAGAGCCACCGGCCCCTTGGAAGAAGAACTGCCTACTTCTCTGATGGAGTGTTTCTTGCCTCCATGAACAACATTCTGTTGCTTGCTGATGCCCATGGGCCTCATGGCGTCGAGCTTTGCGCAGATCTCGGCCAGCACGTGCATCTGCGCGTCGCCTCTGGACATGCTGTTTTCCCTCATTCTGCCGAGCTCGGTCGCGAGGGTCTGCACGCTGGATTTGATCTCATCAATGCCGGCTCCCAGATCGGCAATGGCGCCGTTTGCGTGCTCGTCTCCTGGATTGGGGCCGTTGCAGTCACCGCGCCGCGTCGACGACGAGATCACGTCGTCTTCTTCGGAGATTATCTCCGGCGACGACCTCCTGCTGGATCTCGGAGGGGCATGGGACGCGACGCTCTCCGGCGCCTCAAACTTGTCGTGGACATTGGGCATGGCGCATTGCGCCGAGTAGCTCGGCGCCCGCGGGAGACGGTGGGAGGACGACCGGTGCAGCCTCGGCGGCAACGCCTGGTGGCTCACGTTGGACCGCACCCACTCCTTCTCCCTCCGGATCACCTCCCCGATGTCCGACACCGTCCTCGCCGGCCTGCTGTCGCCGACGCTCTCGGCGGCATCGAAATCCGAGGACAGCTCCTCGAGCCGCGCCGCCGGGAGAGAGGCGTTCCTCCCCGAGGACACGTCTTTCTGGGCCAGCCTCCTTAGCCAGGGGAGGTCGACGACGCCGTCCCGGCCGGGGGGCGGCGCGTGGGGACCGTTGCTGCCGCAGACGACCAGCAGGCGGTTCTTGAGGGAGGTGATGTCCATCTCCTGGCTGAAGACGACGGCCTTGAGGAAGGCCAGGGAGTCCTCGTCGTGCAGGATCCTCTCCTCCGCCACCCGCCGGAACTGGTCGGCCTCCATCCGCACCGCCGCCTTCTCGCCCTGCAGCCGCAGGATCATGGCCAGCGCCTCGTCGGCCCCCGACGACGCCGCCTGCCTCTCCTCCTCCAGCTCGGCCTTGAGCATCTCGACGGCAAGACTCTGCTGCCGCAGAGCCTCCCGCAACGCCGCCATTTCGCCTTCGTCTTCGTCATCTCCGGCCATGGCGCAGCGCGATTAGATCAAGCAACAACGAGGAACCTATGCACACCTCTGGAAATTAACTACCAAATCCGTGAAAAATCAGAAAAATGATTCACACAGATATTTTCAGATAGCAGAGATCTTGCTTCGAGTTGATTCGTTGGGATTGGGCATCACTCAACACCAAGAAAAGGAACTTGACAAGTCGGCCATGAAAGGGAAAGGAGAGGAGAAATGAAGGATGAGGAACACAACACCTACCTGACAGGGATCTTCTTGTAGCCACAGCATCCGGCTTCTCTCCAGGATTAAAGTGGCAATAATTGAGGGCTTTAAGCTGGCGTTGAATTAAGCATTGGATTGGCTGTCATTATCAAGAACAAGGCTGTAGTGCCAAAGAGTGGCCTCCATCCATTTGGTAACAGTACGTATTAAATTCGTCGTCGACCACTTTTCTTTCCAATTTGAATATTTCTTTATTCAATTCAATTAGCAATTTCCATATCCTGCCGACTTGGTTTTTGTTTTTGGTACCTACCTGCCGACTTGTGTCGTGAAAAGAAAAGAAAAGAAGGCAGCGATCCTAGTCAACCTTGTAATGTGGGCCCTAGATGGCCGTCCATAATTCGGTTCGGCGTCTTGTGATGGGCTTCGTTTTTGTCCGACACGGAGAATGACAGTTTTCTAAACGACCGGCGGGAAGAAGCCGCCGCGGGCTGGGCGGCGGAGCACCGACAGCCGACCATTGGCGAGTCAAGAGCAGCCAGGTGGAGGCGCGTATCATTTTGTTTTATTTTCCTTTTTTAAACAACAGATGGGCCTGACGGACCCACAGAGCTTCATCAATATATTTGAAGGACTCATAAGAATTAAAAATTACAACCGAGTCCCTGAAATATGTGACAAGGACCTTGGAAGAAGATTTAGTGTTCCAATTGGGTCCAAACAACCTCAACTCAGATGCGGCTCTATTGTTGCCGGGGACAAACCACTTGGGATATCAAAGCCGCCAACATAAGTTGATGCCGAAAGCAGTATATGGACTTAGGTTTTAGTCGGAGTACCTTCTTATCGGCAACATCCAAGCCAATAGGAATGAATGAAGCAACTGTCAACAAGAACGTTGCAGTTCCCGTCGGCCACCTTCAACTAGAAGAATAGTCGGCGTGTTGTCAAAATTCGGCGGGCACTCCATCGCCTATGCTTCGTGGTGGGTGTCGTAGCTTCTTCACGACAAACGCCCATGATGATGCAACTCTGCTCGTTCGCCAAACACTTGCCTAGACCACTAATTAGATTAGCTTCAAAAAAGCTTTGACTAGCATTCTAGTTAAAATATTTACAAGTATATTGAATAAGAGAGGTGAAAGGGGATCCCCCCTACCTCAGACGTTCTCCAGTTAAGAAAAAAATTGCTTTCAGTATTGTTAAGTTATACTCCAACAAAGCCACCATGAATAATATTGTCTATCTATTGCTTCCTTTTAAGACCAAATCCTCTACTATGCAACGGCTGATCTAAGAACTCCCCTTATTCACCTCCATCACCTCGATGGCCAACAAAGCCAAGGAAGAATAAAGGCTCCTACTCAAGAGCAAAGACAAGCTCGGACTTACTGAAGGAGCACTGCCCTATCTAGTTCTCGTCGTCACCTTCCATGCTAAAACGTAATAATGTGTTATATTTGGCTTTGGCAACACTGTGGATGCTTTAAGGGCTCACAAAATGTCCATGTTCGGCGAATAGCGGTTTCATTCGGAGAGGTCCTTCCGAGCGCCTTAAGCGCCATCTAGCAAGCTGGCGCTCGCGTGGATGTAAGCGGGTCGCGGCCCAACTTCGTGCAAATTGCTCGCTCCCTCGCCGGCTCACTTCACCCATTAGTTTTTTTCTACAATTGATCTTGTAGGAAAAAAATCATAAGATTTTATTAACATCGTTGAAGAAAATCGTGAAATATTTTTTTATGTTTTTTAATAAAAGATCGTCAAGTCAAGGAAAGTTCATGAATTGGAAAAATGTTGCGAATTTTAAAAAGTTCATAAACTAAAAAAGTTAAAAATGAGAAAATTACTCATGAACTCAAAAAATTCATAATTTTAAAAGGTTCATAAATTTTGAAAAACTTTTGAAAATGGAAAAGGTTCATGAAGATGTTTTTTTTAAATACTAAATTTGTAAAAAGATAATTTAAATATAGTTTTAAAATTAAGAAATGTGTTCGAAAAATATATTCCCAAAATTATAAAATTCATAATTTAACTAAAGTTTTTGAATTTGAAAAAAAAATCATGGTTTTGAACTTTTTCGTGATTTAAAAAAACAATGTTCAATTTTTATAACAAAAAAAAGGGAAAAGGAAAAACAAACAAAAAAACAGCCAATTAACTGGTGGAAACCTTTTAGAAGGTTCGCAAAACCGGTGGGCCGAAAGAATGGGTGGGCAGCCCATACACCATGGAACAACTGAGGAGGTGTGTGAGCCCGCTACTATATATAGTTTATTTGGCGCTTAGGATTCGGGTTTCACATTTGTTGCCAACTAGGAGAGAGAGGACGTGTGTCCAAGCGAATCCACTAGTGAAGGGTTATCTCTAGCAAAGGACAGTCCCCATCTTCTCACATACTGACAAGTGGCGCATTGTTTGTGCGTCACTTATCGCAATCTGAGAGTTCTTTTTCATTTTTTGTACATTCATTTATTCATAATGTTTTATATCTTGAACCGTGCATCTAACTCCTGCATCATTTTCATCGTTGGATCTCTCACGTTAAGATTTTTGAAATTAAATCCCACATTAATAGGTTTCGACAATTTTTTTTGACAAACAGACCTAATACCGAGAAAACTAGAAACAAAAAGAAAGAATACCAAAAAAACTAGCAACTAAAAAATGAATAGGAAAGAAATAAAAACCAAATCCGCAAGAAAAGTTGCGTTTTTTTCACTTTTTTCTAATTCTTGCCAAAACAAATTTGTGCTCGCGCGAGAAGCGTAGAAGCAAATTGTGCTTCTTGTGAAAGCATTGTTTTTTCTTTTTTTTTCGAGAAGCACGGTTGTGTACCACATGGAAGCAAATCTGTGATTTCACGAGAACGACTCTTGGAAGCATATATTTCTTTTGTGACAAACACAACTGAGCTTTCATGGAAGCAAATTTGTGCTTCTTGTGCAAGCACTTTTTTCTTTTGAAGAAGCGCAACCGTGCTTGAAAAAAAGGTTAAAAAATCTCCAAAGCCTAAGAAAAACAAAGCAAAAACTGTAAAGCAAAAAAATCCCATCTAAATCCTGAAAATGCGTACAAAAATGTAAGTAAACTATAATTCAGAGAGAGAAGCCAGCACACGACACGTGACAGCGGCAGACGCATTACTTGGCACTCTCTCAAACCACAAAAGTGTCCCTTAGGTGATAACGGACCCCTAAGAGTTACATGCACAACTAAGATGTTGCCCACGAATGTCCATGGGCTTATGGGCCACCGCTGTAGTCTTAAGTTCAGATATTTTCCGAAGAAAGGAAAAGGGAAACGAGAAATGCATTGGAGCTCCGCATCTCTATATGAATATAGTACTAAAAATAAACACGGGAAATTTTAAAGAATTCTGAAATTTTGGGATATCAAATCTGGGATACCCATGTTCAATTTTGTCGCAAATGGGTGGCCGTGGTCTTTTCTATACATAGGAATGTTTTGACTTTTTTTTACCGAGATTACCACAGGCATCCATACCCACGAAACTGAGCACAGGTATATAATGAAACCCACGTTTAATATCCTAAAATTACAGAATGTTTTAGAACTTTTTAATATTATTTTTAATGCTATATTCATATAGGGGTATAGCACCGAGAGCCACAAATCCTCATTCGATCGGAAATTCTGTTCTTAGTTCTTGTGAATTGGATTTCATACCGAAAGACTGCCCCTTAAGGCCTTGTACGGTTGCGTAAATCATGCTTAGCTTCATCTGAAAAGCCCCTACATTTCACCCCTCTCCACCTGTGGAAAGTGGCCCCTACATCACCCTCAACGACAAGTTAATTATTTTTTGGATTAGGTTGATCCATGACTAAGATGGAAGCACAGAAACATACTAGTACTTCTACTACGCCTCAACAAACAGGGAGTCAAACTGCCTGCCAGTGGCTACGAGGCAGACGGCGACGGTACATGCATGCGCCGGTCGTTCTCCTTCCATGGCTAGCTTCACGCCATCCGTAGGCTGAGCCAGTGGAACAGCAGCGGAGAAGGCTGCTGCTGCACCCCGCCGTCCTCCGCCTGCTCCGCGCCGAACCCTGCCGGCCTCCGCTTGTGGTACGGCGAGCCCGCGCCTGCGCCAGTGCCGACCAGCTGCTGCTGCGCCTGCGCCTGCTGCCAGTCCTGGCCGCCCGTGAGCGTGTCAGACTCCGTCGTCGACGACGAGAAGCTCTCCCCGGGGGAGCAGTGCCCGTCGCTGTACCGCTTCTTGCCGCCGCTGCCCAGGGCGAGCGTGAGCTCCAGCTCCGCCTCCTCGTCGTCGGTCGCCTCCGGGCTCAGCTGCGCCTGCGCCGCGCGAGGAGTCGCCGCCCCGTCCCCGTGGCTGCCGCGGCGGGTGGTGCCGTACTGCCACTGCTGCTCGTAGGAGCACGCGTCGAGCGCGCTCGCCCTGCGGCGGTCGTACTCGGCGCCCGGGGAGCCGTTGGGGGAGGCGGACAGGCCGCTCTGCTGGCTCTTGATCTCCCTCTTGAGGTCCCTCATCAGAAGCTTCTGAATTCTGTACAGGCGATGGAGATCGTGAACCTGCGACAACGTACACAAATCATGAGGCCGCAGTCTTCTTGAGACGGGGAGGCAAAAGCAAAAAGGTTGTAGCTTCTTCATACCTGCTGCCTGAAGGTCTCCTCGTGCTTGAGCATGGCCATCTTGAGGGTGTCTTTGTCGCAGTGCATGAAGGCCTGCTCCATCGGCATTGTGGCGATCCCTTTCTTGCTCTGTTTCTTCTTCTTCGCCGGACCTGCATGGAGAAATAGCTACAACATAAGCCTCTGCCCCAAGTGTTCCTAACCACACTACACTGTATATCGCCATACAGATATGAACTTGAACAGAAAGTGAGAATACAATGGAGCCACACAATTGGAGCTTTCGAAGTGGGATGGAGAATCGGGCACTAGATTCAGAGGGGGGAAAGGAAATAAAGGAGGGGGAAGAACAACAGTGTGCATGGCAGGAGAATCTCTCTGCTGGAGTAACTGTACTCTGAAGCAAGTCACAACCCAAAGGAAAAAAGAAGCCTGAAAAGGGCTAAAAATGATTGAACAGAGCATTGCAGATTGATGAGCAGAGAATCGTAAGGGGAAAGAAGAGAGGGAAATGAGATGAGCTCATTTCTCACCTATCAATTACTAGATGTCAGAGAAGTGACTCAAGAACTGAAGTGCCACTGAGCTCCAACTTCCACTCACTCGGCCCTGTTCCTCTTCTCTTCCCGCTATCGGTTTCTGATCATTGTATGGCTCCAAAGGCCACAGGCTTTCCCTTTTATACACATCAACCGGCAGACCGTCGTCTCCATCCGTCCCTCTCCCTCTCCCTCTCTCTCACACACACTCTGTTCTCTGAAGAAAGAGAGAAGGAAAAGAGAAGGGCGAGGGGAGGGGACAAGACACGAATGATGTAAGATTCCTTTCACAGTGGTGGTATTTTAACCAGGCCTGCGCTGCACTGCAGGGAGGCATGCCAAGCAACGGAGTACACTAGGATGGTGTTTGTTTCTCTAGTCCTATGACTTTTTCTAATCCATGAGACTTTTTAAAAAAGACTCTTAAGGAGGTGCTTCTAAGGACTTTTAGCAAAAAGTCCCAAAAAAGTCCCACCCTGTTTGGTTTGGTAGGGACTTTTTTTAGCCCCTGCATCAAAAAGTCCCTGAAAACAAACACCACCTAGGACTGCAGGCCGACTAGGAGTATCTTTCTCTCTCTCTCTCTGGCCTGGCCTTGCTCTTGCGGCATGCAGCGGCTGAGCCGAGCAGAGGGGACAGGACCAGAGGTTGAGTAAGGAACGGACCACCCACATACATAATTTACATGCCCGACTGTGGCTGTGAGATCATGGATCTGTTGATAAGTAGAGAATTACTATCCCTGAAACGGAGGGCAAAAGATTGGACTTGTTGCTCACTGAGAGAGAGGAGCGTGATGGATGGATGCAAAAGCTTATTTTGGAGCCAAAATGAGTGCTCCGAGAAGCTTTTGCGATGACAGCAATACGTCACCGGGCTTTCTTTTCTTTCCTTTTTCTATTCTATCGAGATGTATGTGTAGAGTACTACTCTAGCGGTACAGCATGTCAAGCACAGCACCAGCCTTGTGTACATCTATCGTTTCGTTACGGACGGCAGGTACCGTTCTTGCTATAACGTCCGTTTTTATTTCGAAGTTACGAGGGCTTGGTACGTGCAGCAGGTGAGGAAGGCCCTACCCATCTAGTACACACACTGACACACATACCGTTACTATCAACCGTAATAAAAGCATCTATAGCCGGACTTGCAAATCCAGCTTCTCAAACGCCCACGGACGACTGATTGGACATCCTTTAAATGTTGCGTCGCACATTCACAAATTATAAATTTCGATTCTTAAATCCATGCAATTCATTTACGTCGACCATACGATACAAACTGTCCGGATGCCAATTCAAAACAAAGCAAATCAAATCATAGTTCCACAAATCGGACATGGCAAAAAAATAAATCAATGTCCGAGCATGACGAATGGCCTCGGATCACTTGCCGGGCGCCTGCTCCGAGTGGAATGCGTCGTGCTCCAGGCGGAATGCATCTTGCTCGTCCTGCTCTGCCTGCATCCGGGCAGCCTCATCCGCCTGCATCCGGGCCGCAGCCGCTCTCGCCGCCTCGTACTTCCTATGGTTGTTGATCTCTATCTTCTTGTCTGCAAGCCACTTCTTCGCAAGCTCATCCAAGAGGGTCTCGTCCGCCAACATGATCCTCGCATTTTCCGCGTCCCGTGCGAGTTGCAGCCCTCTTTCACAAGCTCTATGTCTTTATTGCGGCGATGTGGGTCGGGCTGGACGACATCTCCGGCGATGGATCAGGACCGGAGATGAGGATTAGGAGCAAGGATGAAGGACGGCGAGGGTTCAGACGTGGGAAAGATTGGAGGGCAGCGGGAGGAGGAGGCTTTGGTGCAATTTGGGATGGGGTCGGCCTGTGGGGTCTGACGTGGCGGGCACCCTATATACGTCTCATATTTAGGCTGAATATTGAGAGGGGGTGCTGGTCAGCCCCGGTGTTTGAGGCTCGTTTAAGGAGCCCGTCTGGGTTGAAAAAACGTGACCAACATATGAGGCGGGTTTAAGGCGCCCGGCTGTATATGTTCTAAAAACAAGTTCACTTAGAAGCAAAAGTCACTGGCCATACTCTCTTTTTTTCAAGCGTATTTTTCTCAAAGCTGATTTCGATCGATCATAGGCAGGAAATCAGATCAGACACTTGGTGTTAACTATAGGAGATTTTCTTCTGAGAAACTCCAGCAGAATCGCTGTGATTCCGTTGAAATGCATTGCCCCTCAACACATGTACTGCAAGGTGCAGGGCGTACATACAGAAGCCCTGATTGCCCCGCAAAGGACATGTATTTGACTACTTTGACCAGACCATTGAGCTGCCGAAAGAAAAAAATAAAATTGTTGCCCCAGTACGTTTTTTTGACCGAATTGATGCGGTCCTTGTATAGTTGATTAAGTGAGGCTGTACAGCCAGCGACAATATTTTTTGATGTGGACCATCCGGTGGCCATTACCGCCAACGATCTCATTTGATTTGGGTCAAGGACTCCATGTGGTCAGAGAGTGCTTCAGGGGGGCAGGCCCAGGCCCCGGCCTAGCGACTGGTCCAGCTCCGGCCATTGTTCTTCTCAATCTCATCCTCACGCCGTACCTGAGGTACAGCCCTACCGGTGTGCTAGCCGGTAGCATCGATAATTAGGAAGGAAAGAAAGCGTTGAGACGGACAAATTGTGCGTTACCAGCGGCTTAACAGAAAGCGCCTTTTCTTTGCCTCCCCTACCTCTAGCCCGAACCATCATGTCGCGTCGCTCCATTGGACCATGCATATGCACTGGTGGTAGTAGTAGTAGTAGGGCATGCGAGCTTGATCCAAGTGCGGTTCCAAGAAAAGAAGCGCTGAGAGGGAGCCATGGCCGGCCATAGACACGAGAGTCAATAAAGCAAAGAAGTAGATGAATATTCAGCGGGCGAGCGAGTGAGTGAGTGAGCAAGGCCTCGTCTGATTGGCTGATGCGGTGGCCACCTGGGTTGGATGGTCCAGTTGGACAGTATAGCAACAGTTTTGTCTCGGATCCCCATGGTCGTGGAGGTTAGATTAGGGATGGCGGGTGCGCTTAATTCCGACGGTTTTGGGTTAGCGAAGGTAGTAGCCAGGGTGACAGGAGGTTGATGGTGGTGGTGGTCTTTTCAGCGAGCAACGGCGGTGTGGAGCGTGGGGAGGAAGCGATGAGGGCGAGCCGACAGCGGCGCACGCGCTGCCGCGAGGGGGAGGCGCACACGGGACAGCCCGTGGGACCCGCGATCTCGATGGGCCTAGAGAACATCGCTGCTGCTACTGCCTCGTGGGGCCGCCTTCCTGGACCGGGCAAGATTCTCAGTGCCGTCCGTCGTCCCGCTTCGCTTCTTCTGCTTGGAGTTCCACCGAGGAACCAGATGCGGCCACTGGCCTCGCCGGAAAATGTCAGGTGCTCCGGGAGCTTAGGCCAACTCCACCGCGTGACCTATTTCTACCTCAAATCGTTCATTTGTGTCCGTTTGGGGTAAAATGAACAAATCAAACGACCCAACGCATGGGAGCATAGAGACATTCTAATGCTATTTTATAATGCTATTTATAAATACTTTTATACATACTTTGACTTTAGTGAGCATAGGCAGCTCGACTAGGCGATCCGAACATGAAGCCAAATGGTCACACCGAACTCAAACTTTAGTTTTGAATTTAAAGACTCGGATCGCCTAGTCGAGCTGCCTATGCTCACTAAAATAGGGTTATACTACAAATATGGACACAATAATGCTATTTTATATTCAAAATAAATAAATAAATAAATATTTTTAAATAGGAAAATGCCACCTTTTGTATTTTTGGTTGGACGAGGCTTGGGTTTTAATGCCCTCTCAAAGTTTGACAATATCAAATAATCGCTCAACGCCTCCCATATTTTTAGATGAACGACTTAAGGGGCTTTTGAAGACTTTAGTTAGTAATCAAGTTCATGCAGATGAACAAGCGGCAATATCGCTACTAAGGTCCAAATATGGTCTTTTCACTAAAGTCTTGATAGTATTATTGTTTTCCAAGGATTAAGGATACGAAGAAGAGGTCTCCAAAATATTTTATTGTAATTCTTAGTTGTAAGAATTACTTTGTAATTTCTTGGATTTTGAATCCAAAATAGTACTCCCTTCGTTCCAAATTTGAACTAAAACCACGACGAGTAATTTGGAACGGATGGAGTACATGTGTAACCGTTGTTGAGCATAAATAAAGTTACACAACTCCATTCTTCAATGCACTTGTGAAAGGATTGAGATGCACCTAAATGAGGGTGAATAACGACAACTATAAATTTTACTTTGGTTATTAGCATGTTTAGGCTATGCGAAATATAAAGGTGTTCCTAATCAATTGCTACAGTGAGGTAAATATGATGCTTGCAAGGTCAAGTGATCAAAATAGACCACAAGTAAAGAGAGTGCTTAGGAATAACTAGAGACACCAGAGACTAGTGAAAGGGCATTTCTCTCCCTAAGTGCTTTGTGTTGATGACAACGCAAGTTGTAGACTAGCCGTGTGCTTGAACTACACACATATCTAAATGGCACAAGACGGTTAGGTACCCTCTAGAAGGAAAAGATCAGAGATGACATTTTTGAC